CCTGCCGGTCCTCCAGCTTCGCCACCGACCGATCGCTTCCCCGACTCGCTTCTTCTCCGCTTCTCTACGCGATACTCGTTCAAACGGCCACCAAAAGATGCTACGCCGCTGTTCGCGCAACATCGTTTACTTCGTCAGTTTCTGCCGCGTACGTCCATCTCGCGATTTTTTCTTCCACTTTACGATTTAGACTGGTTCTTTCCACGGGTCCGCGAGGCCCGTTATCATCGCCGAGTTTTCACCGCTGTCTACGCTCCCTACCTTTTTTATACGTCTGCCTGGTCGTTTCCTGTTTTTTCTTTTTTTTCTTTTCTTCGTTGAATTTTCCTTTGACGTTCGTACCGTTCGCTCTTTCCCGCGGAAAGATCTCGGTACCGACGAAGGTTTCGTAGCTTTTTGCTTTTAAACGAGTTTCTTTCTTCTTCTTGTGTTCTTTGCCGCGCGATTGCGAATATCTTACCGTTTTATCGATTCGCCGCGCGCTTTCAATCCTTTGTTTCCCCGAGCTGTTCGAACGCCCCGGCTTTCCATCCGTCTTCCTCGTCGCTCGTGTTTCGTTCGATCGTACGTTGTCGAATTTGATGATCGGTGCGCGTCGCTTCGAGCTTCTTCGTACGAAATATTCGACGAATGTAGTTCTCTTCTATCGAAACGTTGAACATCTTTGGCCGAAAGCTCGCTTCGAGTTTTCGTAAATGACGTTTGTTTGTCGCACGTTCGTGACAGACGTTTAAATATCGCCTAATTTTTATATTTTTTTATCTTTTACTAGATATCGCAAGGCGATGTTGCCTTTATTCGAATGCCTAAGACGCACAATCGCTTTGCTCGATTTTGAAACGTCATAGAACTCGCTTGTGCTACGATATTTCAGATAGTCGATTTGCCTTAATCACGTGCAATCGTTTACGTATAGACCGAGTTATTAAAGAGGATGCGTCATTAACAACGTTGAACGTTCTATAGCCGCGCAAAAGTGAAATTCTCTTCCATTCTCAACCTACCTGCCTGTCATCGTCTCGATGAAACGCTTTGCAACGCGAGCGAATCGTAGCTTTCCAAGCTTTCTATTCTTACTCTACCTCCTGTCTTAGCCTTGTCTTCGCTCTGAAACTAAATACTAATTTTTCTAACGATATCTACGTCGAAATACGTTTCCCAGAACTACGTACTTCCACGCGAACCTACAATTTGCAGACTTTCGCTGATCGTTTAATCCGATTGCACGGCGATTAATCAGTCGATCGATTTATCGACGCATTCGAAATAAAGAGAATTGGAAAACAAACCGACCGGATGCTGCGTGCAGGCCGACGCGCTTTTTCGCGAAAATATCCCAAACTGGAGCAGGCTGCGTCTGGAAATCGCGATTCCTTTCGTTAGTTCAAGTAGACAAGCAACAAAAATGGGCGTTGTATCTTTGAACGATGTTTCGGTTTCTGTTGCGCGAGCCAGACGATTCAACGAACACGCTAAATCACTGGAAAATGGGAAGATAAATCGATAATAGCGTATCTACCTATAAACGCGACGCGTCTTACACTTTGGTATCGAACGCTTTGGTATCTTATTAACATTTATAGTATGTAACAGGTAAATTATTACGACTACATGCTTCACAGACGTATCTAATCGCAAATCGACTAGAAAGGCCATAAGCATTCGTCGTATCGTATTTTTCACTGTTACCGGAGATCGTAATGCTGTGACACCTTGAAAACGTGTAGCGTCCTCCTCGGCAAGACTTTAACGTCTCACTTTGTGTAACGCTTTTTTACGCAAAATTCGACGATTTATCCGAATTTGCGAAAAAATGTTGGACGTCCCATTTAAAAGACCAAAGGTGACCGTAATATCTCGCTAAGGAAGCAAGCAAGCGAAAATGTCTCCCTAGACACCATGCAACTTTTGTTTGAAATATTTTTTCCTATAAATTTCGAATAACTTACGAGCGATCTTAAGTCGTCGTGTTAGGAAACTCAGCCTGTACACGTAGCGCGATATCAAGCAAAAATTACAGTAAAAATCGTAATTGCATCGGTTTGTACGCGCAATTGATGAATTGTACGCGCTTTGATAATTGTTGAAAATGTAACGTGGCAATTAATATGACGACGATCGTATAATCTTTAAATTCGCGTTCTGTGGTAAGATGCGCACTCTCGCGGATCCATCATTAATTTAATTATCGAATTCGTATCCATTTGCTATTCGCACGATTTTCTTATCGCTGCCTGCTGACGTTTTATCTTAGCGTGGAAAATTGATTTACCGCCTGATCTTAAAACTGATAATCATTACCATCGACAACTACCAAAACTAAGCAACGTTATTTTTCTAATTTGTCTATATTATTATAATTCCCCATGCATCGAACAGGACGAGAACAGAATCCTTCTTTCTTCTTCCTTACACGCGTGACGTACAAATTATACATCTTCCCTCATTTTTCGACGTTTTTAGTCAAATTTTCTCGCATGCCTCCAATGCTAACAAGAAAAGAAAGCTGTGTGTTAGGAAATACGTATTCGACCGTATTAGACGCGGATGTTCACGTCGTTCGAACAAAAATTCCTCCGCAAGCGCTGCTCGAAACACGGTTACGCAAAAAAGAGCAGCCTCGAAGTGGCCAAGCGTGATTTGCCCTTCGAAAAAAGGACGATCTTCTGCGGTTCACCGATCACGCGCATCAGGCTAATCCGTACATCGAGGCGTGAACGGATCTCGGTACGTTTAGTCTGTCCATTGTCGGCAACCTCCCACTTTTCTCCCTTCTCCTTTCATTTACGTTTTCCTCCGATTTTGTTACGGTGTCGTGGACGAGAATTCATCGTAGTATGGCGCAGCCTGAATATGAATATTTTCCATTCGCGAACGCGATTCTCATTACCTGTATATTTCACGAAACTGTAAAACACCTTCTGATATTCCGCTGTTCTACTCGCGTAGATACGAGCAAATAATATATTATTTAGGATAAAAAATTGCCAGAAACTGTACGAGGAACAAAGCGTGCATACTCTTAAGCGACAGATTAACAAAGAGACGGTCGGAAGGGCTGTTTTTCTTTCGAGTATCGTCGATTCGGTAAAAACTTTAATTTGCTGGAAAATCG